GTGTTATCTGTGTAATTCAATTTCTACAGGAAATAGTCCCACAATGCACCAACAGTTTGTAATAATACAAAATAATCAGCATAGAGACAGATAATTTGACCCATCTCTATCAATCAAGTAGCCAAAGCCCATTAATTATAGCCCTGTGATAATTCTGTCTTATTTTTTCTCCAATCTACCTGTTGTGATAAATGACCCTGTCAATCTAGCCATCACTTATACTCAGTGATTTCATCAAATTTATGGATATAAACACAAGTTGTAATCAATCGAATACTTATTTTCCGATAATCTACCATTAAATGATCATTGTTGAAATTAACCTATTTCAATTGTTGATGATTATTATGGATGACAATTTCTTTGATGTTCCACATCTTCTATGAGGCATTTTTATTTGCTGAAGTCAAACTGACTCATTCACAGCATATTTAAGGGAAAATATTATCAGAGCTTATAGCCTTCTTAGAAGATGATGATATATATATCCTGATGATATATTATCTTTAATTAATTTTCTTATATATATTTATATTAATCTTTCATTTCCTTTAATTCTTGTCAGCAATAATGCATGAAACAATGACTTTTCTATATTGCTACAACATGTATGATATCTCCCCACCAGTCAACTATTTTTCAGGCCATTTCAAGCAACTTCTTTTCTATTCCATTGTCATTACAAGAATTTGTCAAAATAAAACCATTTTCAAATACTTAATTTATAATATAGCCATGCTATAGATAAGAATTTAAACAGATAAAGAAGGGCTAATGTGTTTTTTGTCAGTGTATGTGTCAGATCTTTTGTAGTCTTTTAAATTCATGCAAAACTTTGCAATGCTGGGCAATAAACATATTTTATAGACACTTTCATTGTTGAAGACAACTGACATTTAGATGACAGTGTTGTTTCGTTGTGTACTGTGTTGTTTCGTTGCTGTCTCAAAGTATATCCCGCTTCTCACAACTGCAATTAATCATTGTCATTAATTAATATGTGAAACATCCATGAAAATTGAGATTTTATCCTTTTAATTATTATTTTTTATTCAGTTAAAGAATGCACTTTATTGCATCAATATACATAATTGGGGACACTAACAAAATGGAAAAAATTCCTACTACAATTTCCCAGATAAAGCCAATGACAGTTCTGTTTTTGATTAATGATGCAGCAATCCTCATACATTCTGTGCTCTGACACTTGATAAATGATGGGTTTTGTCCACAAAACTTGATAAAAGGTTATCAGCATTCATAAATATTTATAATTGAACGCTGCAAACACATCTCATCAGCTCAAATTTTCGATTTTTGAATTAATATGTCCCATATATATTTGGTTGGAAAATGACCAATATTCATAACAACTCATTCAGTGTGAAACAAGAAGATTACAATAGTCAGAAATGTATCCCCTGAGTGATGGTTTATTTTTGTCAGTTGGGAATCTGTATTCATAATAATGACCTTCTTAAGAGTGCAACAAAATATAATAAATATATTCATAATTTTATACATTTGTATTAAACAATTTGTCAAAATTTGAAGAACTTGCAAGCTTTTTATCTTAAATATAACTTGATACCACATCTCCTTATTTTTTATGGAATACCAAAGTCATACCAACATTATATGCACACATTTTTTAATACCATTTGATTCTGGGGAGAGGTCTGGTAAATTTGATCATGTCAGAATATTCATTTTCAAATTTTCACCAGCCAGAATACTTTTGTTTTCAATTTGTTGCTTATAAAAATATAAGGTTTTTTTTTTTAGTTTGTAATCCCAGCAGGTTATTTCTATTCCACTTTATTGGCCAAGAATATTTTATTTTCAAAAACTGGCCTCCAACTCAGAATCACATGGTGGTACTCCTAAATCTTAATTAAATTCAATTGACCAAAATTTTAGAGAGAAAAATCATTAAACTTTTTAAGTCAAAGAAAAATCCCCAAATAACAACAGAACAACCAAAACTGTTCAAGGTCAACTTTGCCCAAGGAAGTTAACCTAAGCTTTACTTTAGTAAAGTAGTTACAATATGAAGTATTTATTTTAAGACCCATTAGTACACCCTTCAAATTGAAAAAAAAAGTACAATTCTTCAATCCTCTCAAAATCATGTTAATTATATTAACTAGGGGCTCCCAGAAATGTGTTACTTGTCACTTTTTGTTTAGAGACTATAATTCTTATGCATATACATGTACGTTATAGTAGCTAAAAACTTTTGTAAGCCTTCAGTTGACTGGCCTATAAAAAGATTGACAAGTTTTAGCAACATAATTGCTAAATTATATATACTTATTTAGTGTGTAAAATGATGTTTTAAGTTCATGTAGTTAGTTTGTTTACAAAAAAGTACTTATGTATGATTTAAATTGTTAGTACAAAATGTATAAACTAAAATCATTTTTATCAAGCTGAGTGTGAATTAAACAAAACTTCTTGTTGAAATTATCATGTCTAGTCACTACCTTTTTACTGTCTGGTATTATGGTGCTGTATGTATAATAGAGCAAAATGTTCTAGAACAGTTGCTTTGTTACTCTGAGTGACAGGCCTAAAAAATTATACCTATGTTTCTGCTGACATGCAGAATTTTTTAGGGTTGGCAGTTAAGCAAATCATTTTATTTTTCAAAAAGCTTTTGACTGGTTTAAATAGGGGAAACAGTTTGACGTTAATAGCACTTGTTGAAATGATGAAAATCTTAGGGTATAGGCACTAAAATTGAGGACGGTAGGATTAGTGGAAATACAGGTATTTTTTATGCTAACCTTTTATATATATATACTTTTACTCTTTGTGTTGTTATTACTTCTACTTCAGTTTTTAGTTATGAAGGAGTTTGTTTGTATTCACTTGTTTTTTTCTTTTTAAACTGCATCTAATTGATTCCCATTTATTGTTCTCTGTGACATAAGCACAATTGAAGAATTTTCTACAATAGATTTGTATTTGAAATAACACTAGATGAAAACATAACTTTGATGACTTAGAACTGTTTATTTAGTTTCTCTGTTTATTTAGTTTCTTTGTAGACTTACAACTGTTCAAGTCAAAAGTATAAAAATAAAATATGATCAAGAACAAATTTGGATAAAGTTAATTTATGCAATGAACAAGGGTATAATTGTAAGTGTTCTGTCTTTTAAGACCAAAGCATTTTGACCGGTCTATACATGTATAAATCATTAAAATTAACCTTACTTAAATGTTGCAAGGACTGTAGCAAAACTAGGTTTTCCATGAACTGTAAATTCTTCATTACAAAGAATTCATCCAACCTTGGTTAAAAACACCTGTAGTTGTAGGCTCACATTTCATAAGAATATCTACTCTTAGCAATCAGTCTTCTTCAAGACATATTCCCACAGCATTTATCATCTAGGACATTGTTCTTTTTTAGCTCTAGTACTTCAGTTTTTGGTATTTTGATGTTTTTTGTAAGGTTTTTTTTTTTTTTTTCTTTCTTTCTGTTATGTTTTATTAATGTTATCTTATTACATAATAAAGAAAGAAATATGTTCCATAATAATCATATCAGGACCCTCGGCCATAAAACTTGACTCAGTTCATGGAGTACAAAATTTGTGCTCGAAACACCAAATCCAGTATTTTGATTGGTTGATTTCTGAGTCTGAGTACAAAAATCATGCTCGATATTTTCATGACCTCAAGTCCAGAAGTCACTGTTTAACATTTATATGGGAAACTTATTCATGTCCAATAATACCCGATTCTAAAATTGATTATTGATTTGCAAAAATTTGTTAACAATTTTATTTTAGTGAACTTAAAATATACTTCATTGTTATTCAAAAATGATTATCTTCAGAATTTTTTTTTTAAAGAACTAACTTGGTAATCAAAATTATCATTTTGAACATGCAAAGATCATTTATTTCTGGAGAAAGGATCAAATGTTCTTGATCATTCCAAAACAGCATTTAACTTTTTATACCATCAAAGTCATGTTGAACATTATAACATTCCAAGTAGACAATTAATACTAAATGCAACCATTTGTTATCAATTGGAAATTTCTTGGATGAATTCAAAAGAATTCTTTGATCAGTGGGTAAATAAAAGACATATGAGGTAACTCAATGACTTCCAAGGCAGGTGTATAACAGAGATATACTGACAACAGCTGAGACTATCTCAACTGTCAAATCATCTGTGCTGTAATAACCATTTCTTTGATAGATTTCAAGGGCAAAGGCAAATAATTACGTCAACCAGCCAGTTATGTCAAAAACTATGGCCTCTTACATCATTGCTAAAAAAGCAATTTAATTAATATAAGAAACCAATTTCCTGTGATATATGCCATTATAATAAAGAAAAAATATTGTATAGCTCTTGATGATAATGTGGAATTAATATCAAGTAAAGTCTAGTTCTTGGTTTTTAAGACTTCTTACTTTGTTTATGTCATAAATAAGGGGTGTAATGCTTACAAATATAATAGTTATTGAAATATTTTCCTACATAAAGTAAGACGGGGGAGGGGGGAAACAGTATTTTAATAACTTTCTGAAAATACATGTGCATCATCTGCACACATTTATAATTTCTGACTGAACAAGTTTTATAATTATATGCACCAGTCCATAGTGGGCAAAGATATTGTTGCCCAACTTCTTTAAAGAGACATGGCATGTTTTATTTATGAAATCTCAACCTATTAATGACGTAATGAAAAAAAGTATAAAAATCGTGCTTTAAATCAAGTACAGTGTTGAATTCATACACTAAAGCATTATAGATATATGGTTAAATCTTGTAAAACAAAATCCTTTTTATAAGCAGGTAATTAAAATTTACGAGCTTTAAAATTTCAAGGTTCCTTGGACCTTTAAGACATTTGTTTAAGCGTTAAAGTAGAAATGATCTATACAATAACTTAAACCTTTTTTTTTCCATCCTAAACTATACCTGCTATCTGTACAAGAAACATGAAACTATCATCAAAATTAACTTACCTCAAAATTATCAATAATGCAGAATTTCCTGTTTACAGTTATAAACACAACTTTCCCATAGAAACAAATATTCTACAGTGTGAACAATCATTCAATGCAGTACAACACCACTAGCAGTGCTCATTAGAATAGCTGACAAGTTGAAAGTTTTGTAACTGCTCTATAGTCCACACTCTACTGAATTATTTAATTCTGCTACACATATCAGCTCTGATGGGTCTCTATGATCTACAAAAAATCCATTCTCTAGTGTAATTTTAGTCAATTATTGTTCATAATCATTTTCCCACTGTACAGCTTTATGGCCAATTTTTGTACATAACCAGAGGAGGTAATTGGAATTTTACTGTAAAAGCAAAACAGGGTATAGAAATTAAATATCTGTAAAACCGAGATATAATTGAAATGAAAACTAAAACAAATATAATTATAAATATACATTAATAAACAATGTCTCCCTCTATCAAATTTATTGAGCCATTATTCAATTAAGGGAGAATAATGATGGTGCAACAAAATAACAATAAAGTGAATCAAAAATCCTCTGACGCCTGCATAAGAAATTTGTCCTCATTGAAACAAGACAATTTATCTTTTAACTTTCATCATTTCTGTAACATGTTGGAACTTTCTATTGATTTTTCATAATTTTGCAAGATTCATGACAAAATTTAAACTTAACAGCTTGAAACAACATCCTTTTATTTCTAAATAGTAATAAAGATTACAGGCTTCTTTTTATGAAGTATTAGCATAAATAAATTGTAGGTGTATATTAATGATTGCCATGGAAATCTGATGCCATACTTTGGGAAAACCAGAGGACCACTTAAACATTGAATATTTCAAAAGTATTTCTACATATTTATTTACCAAGCAGTACTGTAGATGCTGCATTCCTTAGATCCAATTACACCTTTGAATTGATCAATGTAGATTGTGATATAGAAATAAAAGTTGCCTTGAGAAAGTTTATAGGTTTGTTAAGTTCTGTTACATCACAGAGGATCATGGTCTTAGCTATTAAACATATGTTTTGGTTTGCTTAAACATCACTTGAACATATAAAAGGAAATAAAAATAATGGAAGGAAGAAGTAACATAACTAAAATTAATTCATCTTAAAATACAATTTGGTGTGCATCACTATTATTTCATTAGAAGATGGTAGGCAGCTAAATAACCCTTTAATTCATGATTTTGACTGTCTTCTTTCTGTAAGTCAATAAAAAAATGCAGTAAAATTTGCAATAGAGCAATAGTCTAAAGTTGCCATCATTTATTTAAATATGTGAGCTATTAAGTAATAATTAATATGACCCAGAGAATGAAAATGACAAGCAAATATTACTGTTCATTAAACCTACAATTATGAGATAATGTTTTAAGTGTTTAAAACCAATCTGTTGGACCCTGCCACAAGTAACAAAAACATTTAAAAAATTTCTGAACAGTCTGTATGTAGCTAAAGCAACATGGGACAGTCAATGTACATTTCAGGCACAATGGTTCAAACTATTATACCAAATTGAATAAATGCAAAATAACAAACATAATATTTTAAGAGTAGAAAATAAGATTGATTGATTGATTTTTTGTGTTTAATGCACCTTTCAGCACTATTGGCTATTTTGAGGCAGCCAGTTTTCATTGGCAGAGGAAGCCCGAGTCCCAAGAGAGAACCACTGACCTTCAGCAGGAAAACTGACAATCCTCATCAATTAAGATTGGAGTTGAACACATCTGAGACATCTGGGGTTTAAACTCAAAACCTAAGTGTTGACAGGCTAGTGATACAGTAGATAAACTTACTTGCACCACCATGCTACCTATAGGCCCTTATCAAAATATTAGAGTATAATCAGAGTATCAAACTTGCACTGAGTTGAGTTTTTTTGGTCCGTGTTAAAAGCCTCACTGTGACTTTGAGATAAAGAAAAGCAATAAAAGTTCTGTTCATTTCCCTTTTGTATGTTTTTTGCTCTGCATGTACTGATTCTGTGTCATGGATAGATACCCCATATCCTTTGTTTTTCTAGTACAGTGTAAATTAGAGAGAAAATGCAATCTTTAGATAAACATCTGAATTAGAGACAGTTATTTGGATTATATACCAAGGAAAAGTTAAAAATATTCTGCAGATTTTTCTACTTGTTATACCATTATACCAATTCACATTTGAAGCTGATCATATAAAAAACTCCAGATAAAACCACCTGTCCATTGGGTGCACTTTGCTGTATCCGTTTTTATGCAAACAGGTGACAAAATAAGCTTAAACTGCCTTTTGATCTGTATATAACCAACATTTTTCTTCATTAGGAAGACAAATTCTACCATCTGCTAAAGTGCTTTTGAAAATTTCCATGTTTGTTCAGAATCACAACTTGCGTAATTATACCATTCCCAACAGTCCTGATCTTCAATGTTTTACTAATACAATTTTGCCATTACGATTGTGGAAAAACAATATCAATTGTCGTTGTAAATCATAGACACTTAATAGGAGGCTTTTTAAAACTTGGCAGAAGTTAAATGCAGTGTACAATATTTAGTCAATAATCCATTTTAGTAACTTTACAAAGAAACACTTTATAACAGACGTTGTGATGAATGCTTTGTATTTCATTTGTAAATTTCATAAACAATAAATCAAAACCGTGCAGAAAACATTCAATATTTTCAATCATAGCATTCAGTGTTGAAAGGCAATTATTCTGAAGATTCCATTTGAGGAGACTAGAATATTTTGCAATTAAGGAGCAAATAAATCTATATAGGTTATCAAATCTATGACCTAAGTTTTTAATTATTTAAGAAAATCTTTGTATTAGAATTTGAAATTAATTGCACTAGATAATTATCACCCGCACAAGAAAAAATATTTTCATCCTTTAAATCATGCATCCTTTATAAAGCAGTTTAAAAGCAGGATGTTTACAAAAAGATTTAGTTATAGTTCTTTAACTTTATATGTTCATAACATGCAATTTGAAAACAAAGGAATGACAGGTTTGTTTAGAATAAGATATCTATCAATCAATGGGTGGTAACAGTAGGAACAGATGCAGCATCAAAACAAGAAATGAGCTGTCAAATTGACAGCAAACTAGGTTTTCTGTATTTTGAAGACGCTTTCAGGCTTGTTTTGACCTGTCACGTTCTGTGCCTTTTTACCAATCTAACAAGGACCTTAACTACTGAAAGAAAAAAGTGCAAATCATCAATATTTGAACTTCACCTCCATTTTATCATCAGTAACAACATACAAAAATTAGTTGAACAGTTCATGAGTAATTGCACAAAAACAACATAAACTTCCAGTTTAAAAAGTGAAAATTACCAATATCATACAGACCTGACCTCCATTTTGTCATCAGTAACAATATATCAAAATTTGAAAAGCTTTGGTGGAACAGTTCATAAGTTATTGAAAACACAACATAAAGTACCATTTCACAAGCGATTAAGGAACATAACTGAATGGCAAAAGTGAAAATTGAACTTGACCTCCAAGTTTGTCAACTGTTCCAACACATTAAAATTTGAAAAGCATTGATGGAATGATTCATAAGTAATTGCACGTAAACAATATAAAGTGCCATTTTACAACCTATCAAGGACCATAACACCTGAACAGTAAAGTGAAAATTGTCAATATTGAGATTAAAATCCATTTGGTCATCAACAACAACATATTAAAATTTGAAAAGCATTGGAGGAAAGGTTCATAAATTAATGGCAATATTGCAAGGAAATGACATAAAGTGCCATTTTCCAATATATCAAGGACAACAACTCCTGAACAGTAAAGTGAAAATCATCAATGTTGAAATTGACCTCCATTTTGTCACAAGTGCAAACATATCTAAATATGAAAAGCATTGGTTGAAAGGTATATAAGTTAATGCAAAAAACTGTTGGCAAACAGCCGCAGTACTTTACCATTTTAAAACTAGAGGCTCTCAAGAGCCTGTGTTGCTCACCTGTATTTACTGATGCTTTGGAAATCATATAAAATAAGGTTAAAATCATAATTAATAGTATTAGATATTAGATATTATAATGATATCTAAGATAATAACAAAAAACTGTAAAATTTCTGTAAAATTACTAACTCGGGGGCAGCAACCCAACAACGGGTTGTCGGATTCGTCTGAAAATTTCAGGGCAGATAAATCTAAATCTGAAGAACATTTTTGCCTCCTGTCAGATTTGCTCTAAATGCTTTAGTTTCAGAGATATAAACCAAAAACTGTATTTTACCCCTATGTTCTATTTTTAACCAAGTCGGCCATGATGGTTGGAAGGCGGGGTCATCGGACAAATTGTTTAAACTAGATACCCTAATAATGATTATGGCCAAGTATGGTTAAATTTGTCTCTGGCTTAAATTAAAATATTGTTTGTTTGCAGTTTACCGACCGACCTTCGAAAATCCGCCCGACTGTGAAAATTTTATTGCTTTTAATTTGAAGAAATTATTTTTAATACTTCAATTGACTCGATCCGGAATTTCAGGTCGTTTCCGGAATTGATTTCGAGTCTAGGTCAATTACATGTTTGAAGTTCGGTTTTTCTTCCCTTCCTGTCAAGCGTTCATCAAACCTTTTAATGGTAAAGCACATGGACATTGTTTACAGGTATCCACGAAGTCATGGAGGAGTACTTTATTCTGTCGTCTTCTGTCAATTTTAAGACAAATAATACACAGAAAAGTAGTAAACTGTTTATACTGATTCAGGCAGAATTGCACACGGAATGATGTCTTCGATGATATCATTGACGATGATGCAGCGGATATTCATAAAACCGACACGATAACCGTTTCTGTCTCAAACAAATCGGATACAGAATCTTTTGAGACTGACTTTATGAAACCAATATCAGTGGTTCAATAATTCGACAACATCTTGAAGTATGCCATATTTTCTTTACTAGAATCGTCGTGAAGACGACAAAGAGGAAACAAGACTCCTCCGTGACTTCATGGATAACTGTCAACACGCCTGTACGGTGGAAGGACGCATTTGAAATGTAAAATCAATAAGAAGCCACACAAACTACACAAAGATGTAGAGAAAATGAATGGTTGGCTTGAGAAATAAATATATTCTCTCTGTATCAAATCTATCTTCGATTGCAATGAGTATGCTCCTTTAGGATAAGGGGGGCTGTCCC